ACGGATATATCTCTGATCACCTGGTCCATAGATCTTGAGTGAATTATCCGACCGATACCCAAAGATCGATAAGATTGGTAAGGGGGATATCTCTCATATGTTTTCCCAGGCTGAGGCTCTATCCCTACGAACTGAGGGATAATAATAAAGGTGTAACCTTTCGGAAATTGTCCGCATGGGCTGAAATTTCGACTTTGGTGTCACATTCTACAAAAAATATTTTTTACCATAAAGTCTTGAAAGATAACACTCCGAAAGATTGAAAATCGGTTGTTATGCAGGCGTAAACAGTTGTAAAAAGGGAGTGCTATCTACGACCTTAAGCTTGTGATTATTTAACTCGCATATCATTAAATCACTTTGTTGAATTATTGGGAGAAGAGCGATTTGAATTGTGTTTGGATAGAATCAATTTAAGGATCATTTTATTTTATTTCTTTTATCTCATATTTTGAATTTATTGAATAAATTTCATTATTATCATAATTACGTTGTGTCATTATAAAATGGTACCATATACATAATGCTTCATTAGAGGACTACTCAACCCTAGCTAGTACTACATATACGAATTAAATAACGTTCATGTAGATCTTTAACTGACAAATAATAATAATAATAACCTACAACTCGGAATCTTTATTTGCCCAGATCTCCAAATGTGATTATAAACAACTCGGATTCCGCGTACTTTAGCAATAATTTTTCATAAAAGAAATAGCCTATTATTTTTATTATTGTCTTACATTCGTTCAGCGACAATAATTATGGATAAAATTTTTTGCAAAATCTCGTACACAAAGACCAGTCAAAAATACAACTCTACAAGAATTACATTATACTAACTTCTTTGAAGAACTATCTATCTCTGTAATAGATGCATAAAGAAATACAGTAATTGAGCTGATTTATTTTTTTTTGAAACATATATGATTACAATAAATAAATACAAAAACTTGTTTTAACAATACAGTCAAATCCTTGTTTCAATGAATCAATGAAAATTGCACTTTAACCAAATTACTAATCACATTTTATGAAAAATTCGTTGTAACATGAATTTTAATCATAATTCGTTGAAACAAGGGGTTTGACTGTATATGTATATGTATATGTATATATATATATATATAGTAAAACATTTATTCTTTAAGCAAATCTCCAGAAGGGTTGGAATAGTTTTGACAGATTTCATCTTTATCAATTATTTCAAAAACTTCTAATTCATCAAATTTACTTTTATTTAATATATCTATTGGATCATAAGTCCTTGGAGCACTAGAGATACTTTCATCTGTATTAAATTTAAGATCGTAACCATAACCAAAAACAGGTAAATAGTCAGGATAACAATGAATTGCATTTTTACCATTACCATTAGCATAACTAACTTTAGTAGTGCTAATGTCATTATTCTTATTAGTTATGTTGAATATAAAACTGTTGTTTGAAGTTTTATATCTATCCCCTCCCCAATTCATAGGATTAAAGCCTCCAATTATTTGATCAGCGGTTTGTACTTTTGCAATTACAAGAGTTTTGGTGACATGGTAACACTTATGATGGAATGTTTTTGGAACTAAACCATCTCTACTACTTCTATATAAAAGTTTAAATTTATATTTGACCTGATTCATTGAGTGATATAGTGGAATTCTTTTGTCAATCCAACTTGCAAAAAGTAAAGTGATCTTTTGATTAAATATCATTGGTTGAATTTTTGGATCTCTTGATGGTAATATATTCAAAGTTGCAGCATCTCCAGGAACAACATAAAAATGTAGAATTTTATCCCATAGATCCTCAGGAAAAAGCTTTTGATATGGATTAATTTTACTATGAAAATCCTCATTAAAAATATCTTTGAATCTAATCATGTTAACCAATCTTTTTAATGTATTTTTTAGATTTTCAAAATTATCTGGTGACCAATATTTAACATCACCTTTTATTTCTGGATGTTTTGCTAATCCCCATTTAAGAATATTTTCCCATACTTCTATTTCATCAGCATAAAAATTATCTTTTCCAAAAATTTCTAATAAAATTGGTTTCTCCAATAATTTGAATTCATTTGATTTAAATAATTTTCCACCATCAGCACAAATTTTTTCCAAACAGATATTTTTTAATTTATTATATTTTGTGTTATTATGAATCAATTTCAGAATTTCAACAGTGTTTTGATTTATATAATCATCATGATCTTTAATAAAGTATTTCATTGTATGGTTAAAAAACGATTCAAGATTAAAATATTCAGCTGCACTTAATAGCTCCAATATATGATCTCCAGTATGATTGTCAAAATTGGCTTTACTTGTATATAAAAATCTTTTTTAAAATAAAAATAAAAATAATTATTAATTAGTAAACTTCATATATTCAATTAAAAAATAAAAAGACAATTAAATCGCTTACTTGAGAATTGTTTCAAAAATAAGTTTGCTAATATTTGTTATCTTGAAAACATAAAACCCATTTTCTTTTTTTTTTTTAGACAAGGCAATTTTGAAAAATGGGCAATGTGCATATAATATAAACGAATGAGCATGGAATTCTCTAGTATCTGATTCTACCCCAATATTAATCTTTACATCATAAATCTCTTCTGACTCCAATAAACTTTTAGTATTATTAATATATTCATTTAATAACGGGTCATTCATTTTTTTTTCTATTTAATGTGTTGAAATATGCTGTGCAATATTATTAAACCGAGTTTTATTAGTATTAGAAGCATGATAAATTAAATAGTATCTTTCATTTTATTAAAGAAAAATTTTATTCTATATCAAATAAACTTTACTTTTAGATATAAAATCAAGCGTAGGTTATTGTTTAACTTCTGGCCACCCAGCAGTTGTCAATACCCCATAAAGTTTTATTAGAAGCAAAGCACAATATTAACTAGGAGATAGAGCTAATGAAGAATGTAATATTACATATTGTGTGTGGGAATTAATGATTACATAAATGAAAAGCCTTAACGAATTGATGACTAGTTGTATTTTGAAATTTATAATTAAAAAATTTTGGGGTAGGGTGTTCGGGATATAAAATTCTGATTGGTTAATTTGAATTTCACGTGAATTGCTAATTCACATTTTCACGCACATATTATCTTGTCACATCATATGGTTATGGGAACCATATACAAATAATATGAATTATAGTATCAAGCTTTGTCATAATTCCTAGCCCACCCAAAAGAAAAAAGAACCTAACGGCAACCCATATTTATTTCATCATTACACATAAATATATTTCGATTCTAGCTCCGTTAATAGAAGTTGCCTATAAAAGTAGTTTTAAAAATTTCGTACCATATGCGGACGATTTCCAGGTAGGTCTGACCTTTATCCCTGTGTTCATATTCAGAGGGATACAGCGAGGGATAAATATAAATGCACGGATATATCTCTGATCACCTGGTCCATAGATCTTGAGTGAATTATCCGACCGATACCCAAAGATCGATAAGATT